GGTTCAGCTTATTTACATTTGCTTGCGTGCATCAGCTGGAACGAAGCTCACAAATAGCCTAAAATCACAGAAGCTTTTCCATGAGCAGGAGAAATCAATCAATTCACTGAATATTCCTTTTTATCTGTCGTTTCTGCATTTCTGGCTACGTGACTTAACTCCAAAGTATATTACATTTCAATGCATAGCCAGACTTTTCCAGTTAAGCTTTATTTTATTTCTTTATCAACAGATCCTGCTGCAGGGGGCTCTGACGACTGGGCTTACGATCAAGGCATCAAGTACTCTTTCACTTTTGAGCTCCGAGACACTGGTAGACATGGTTTTGTTCTCCCTGAATCTCAGATAAAGCCAGCATGTGAAGAGACTCTACTTGCTGTTAAATATATTGCCAATTATGTCCTTGAGCACTTGTATTAGAATGGAGTTCTAAAAACTATTAAAGAAGGTTTCATTCAAAGATGCCTCCCTTTTTATTCTTCCCTAACAATAGGTTTTTATTTCTCTGTACTTAATGTTCTTAAGTCATATCCTTGGTCCATCATAGGTCAATAAAACTACAAGTTTGTCAAGAGAAATGATATCTTTTCTTAAGGCAGGGGATCTAAAAAGAAAGAGCACAAGAAGCTTAATCAACTTAAGGTAAAGGTTGCCTTAATGATTAAAATTATCTTTACACAGAGCAGACAGGCAGAGCATTAGAACTTACACAGCCTGAATGCTAAACAGAATGAGAACAGCTAGGTAATTCATATAAATGCACTTTCGTCCAACCATTCATTGCCTTAATGGCAACAGTAGCAAGGAAAAGTTCACATCACATACTTTTAAAATTATGTTAGCTGCGATATGCTCTTGTGAATTTTCTTAAAACACACCCTGGATCTGCCCTGTCACTGAAAACCAGTTTGGATCTGAGGTCACTGCTAGTCTGAACTCGGTGCTGAAGCTTGTAATTACTGTTAGTTTTAAAGAACAAGACTTGATACCAATGCCATAAACTACCCTGCATTTAAGGCTCTCATGCTCACTACAGTAGCATTTCTGAAAATATTCTCAGAGTTCTGGTACTTCCTGGGGCCCCACATGTTCCTACCATCATGAGCGGAAGAATTGTAAACAGCCATAAAGACTAAGTCTGGTAATAAATGATTAACTGTTTCTTTCATGAGAAGCTGTAAAGAATTATCCCCTCTTGATCAATTTTCTGTACAGGTAATGTGGGGCTGATTGGGTCAGAGTGAGTGAGAGTGATAAATAATCACTCCGGGCAGCTTTCTCACGCAGCTGCAGAAAATGTGTTTGGCATTTATTAATGCTGTTTAGAGCTTGGCTAATATGGGACGCACTCTGCAGAAAGATGAGGGAAAACCTTATGTCAACACAGAACCTGGCTGATCTCCCTGCCGCTGCTGGAAGCTCTGAACAGACACTTGCGCTGTCTGCTGGTGCTCCTGGAATCAGCACTATTTCTAGCAGGTCCCTAGCTGATGGACACAAAACTGCCCATGAAATGCATCTCACAGAGAAAATGGTTCTCCCAAGAAAATCACCGAATTCAGACCTGTCAAAAACTAGGTGTTCTCCTTTTTTGCTTCTTCTCTGTGGAGGAAAACAGAAAGACAGGGTCCAATTTAAAATGACACTTTCATTTACGTGTATAAGGAAGGAACACATCCACTAGCCCACTCCAATTAGCCCAGCAGAGCTCAGATTAAACCAGTCCTCACAGAAAACTGATCCATCTGTTTTTGATCACTGGTGAAACTGAACCCATGTGTGAAAGTAGCACGTACCAGTAAAAAGACATGTCATTCTGTTTTGCAACAGAAGAGGGGGGGGAAGGATAATCAACATTACTAAAAATAGCACAGGATGCAAGCAGAACATACCGGCCGGAGCCAAACATGTCACAAAGGGCAGGAATATAAACTACTTGGAATACAAAATATTTTGGCTAATTTTAACGAAATATTAACAACCACCCAGGGACTATCCCAACTAAAGCTGTGTTATTTGGGAAAATATCACAGGCTTTACATCGACTGCAAGGTGAGTTGTTGATACTCGGCACCATTCATTGCTCAGAAGGCTCTTTGTAGGACTGTAGGCAACAAAACACAGAATTACAAATACAGCTGAGGGGTAGGTCACGGCACCCAGCAGCTCCAATAGTGTTAGGGTTACTCCAGTTAACTTAAATGTTGACTCCGAGGCAGAATACAGCACATGTTTGGTAGTTCTGACGGCCACAAAGTCAAATCACAGCAAGGCAGTCATATGCGGCTTCTCCAAAGAAGGCATTCACAAGCACCTCTGGTCAAATTACACAGACGCAGAAAAGAAGAGCAGTTAAATGTGATATATCATCTATGCAGCTTGGAATATAAAAAAATACAGGGAGAAATTTAAGCAGGAAAGGACAATCTGCTAGCAGGTAAGCTGTTAGGACAAAGACACTGGAAGAAAACACGGAGAGGAAGCAAAGGTTCAGCAACAAGTCACAATGCTTCAAATTTCAGCATTGCTTTCAAAAAAACATAGAAAATCCACATGCAAAACTGATTGATAATATATTTTCAAAGACAACATCGTAGTTATTTGGAACCAATTCCTCAGTCATGAAACAGTTCTTACAGAGAACCAGGAGAGACACAGGAAAAGAAATAAAAACATTTTATATCGATGATGGAGGTACATTTTGACATTTATAACGTGGACTTTTTCAATAACCCTAAAGAAAAAATTTCCAGTGTTCTCCAAACTGAATCTTCTTCTTGCTTTCCAGAACCAAATAAATCCATAAAGAAACAGTAAATATTTTACCAATGTTGAAATAAACAGAACCCACCTCCCTGGTGAGGCCACATCGGGAGTGCTGGGTCCAGCACTGGGCTTCCCAATACCAGAGAGAAGGACACACTGGAGCGAGTTCAGTGAAGAGCCATAAAGATGATGGAGGGACAGGAGCATCTGTCATACAAGGAGAGGCTGAGAGAGCTGGGACTGTTCACCCTGGAGAAGTGAAGGCTCACGGGGATCTTATCCATGTGTCGGCTCACGGGGATCTTATCCATGTGTCTAAATACCTGATGTGGGGGTGTAAAGAAGACAGAACCAGGCTCTTCTCAGTAGTGCTCAGAGAGAGGACAAGAGGTAATGAGCACAAATTAAAGCACATGAAATTCCATGCTAACAAGAAAAGACTTTTTTACTGTTCAGGTGCCCAAACATTGGCACAGTTTGCCCAGAGGCACTGTGGTGTCTCCATCCTTGGAGATGTTCAAAACTTGACAGGACGCAGCCCTGGGCAACCAGTTTTAGGTCACCCTGCTTTGAGCAGGGGGTTGAACTGGATGGTCTCGAGTGGTCCCATCCAACCTCAATTGTTCTGCGATCCTGTGAAATTAATCTCTGCCTGATGCAGGTCAACCAAGGACTGAGATGAACAATTTCAGCTTTACCTACTTGATTTATACTGCTCCTTTAATTAGATAAATAGAAAAGGAGCATTCTGTTTTCTTGGTTAAGAATCACATCAAAAAGCTGCCATCTTTCTCATATTAGGCTATCATTTAGCTACATACATTGAAACAGTCAATACATTTCAGTGCAAAAACTCAAAAGGGATTAAGAACTGATGAAGTGTTTTAAAGACAATGTACTGTCCACAGGCAGGAGTCATACAGAGATACCAGACTGCTCACAGAGGACATGTCCCTTCAGTACAGACCACAGCTGCAAAGGCCTGACAAAGGCAGCACTATAAAAAATCTTGATTCTGAATAAAGCAGGTAATTCACAGACAAGAATGAAGTACAGTAACTCCTGACAGTTGTGTGAGAGTTAAACACGTGCTTCTGGGGCAGATATTTCCAAGTTTGCGCAAAGTTCTAAAGCAGCTGCTGACACATAGCGATAATTCAGAGAAGGAAACTTTAGTTCTTAATGATCCAGACTCAACTGCCTCAAAACCTGTGCTAGAACTTAAACCTATGCTTACAATGCAGCCTGTTCTGAACTCTGCTTTACTGACATACGGCCTCAGCATGCTTCCTGTCACTTTGAATTCTTCCAAGGACAGACGTGGGCTGTGCATTGGAGCAGGTTGCCTCTGTGCTCCCCGCTGCCCTCAGAACAGCTGCGTTACAGCTGCATACAGTCTTTTACTGCAGGAGGAGAGGAAACAGCTGAATGCCACTTTCAAGAATGGGATTGCGTCCCTGTCCTTTACAGGAAGGATGCTAAGCTACTTGCAGTAAACTTTGCAACCAGGGAAAAGAGGGAATTTGCTATCAGTAAATGAATATATACCGCTTAGCCAAGAAATAGGGAAGTTTTGCAAAACATCTAAAACTTTTTCTTCAAATCTTTTTAAGCAAAGAAGCCCAGCTTCTTGGCAAACACTGAGCTGTTTTCTCATTTAACAGAAGACCTAAGATGCTTAACTCTGGAGTTCTTCAAGGAAAGTATGAATCACATTGCTTTAATATAAAATCAACTCCCAATTTCCTGGCTCCATGGGGAAAAATCAAATATTCATGTTTCTCTTTAATACATTAGGCCATAAGAACCAGCATGAAGACTGTAATGAAGAAAAAAGGAAAACAGTTCAGGAGTAATGGCTGTCAACCCTGCAGATCCCTGTGCTGCTGCTGACATGAAAGCGCGAGGCCGCAGAGTACAGCTCGCTGTCACAATGATCAACCAGTTCATGTCCAGGAGTGAAACAGTTCAGAGTGTCTCTGTTCCTACCAGAGTTAGTCCATAATCTAATCAACCTGCTACAAAAATCAAGAGATGCTAGTAAATTTTAAAAATTACAAACAGAACTCAAAAGACAAATGTGCTATGATGCAGCATTGACATCACTGTTGACACTTACGTTGCATCATCGTCACTCATCAGCATGGTCCCTTTTCCACCACTGCAGATGTGCAACATTCTCAGATTGTGAAACTGTAAATACAGTAGCAGATGCAAAAAGCTTGCTTTTCACTGATATTTTCATGTCCCTGTTCATAGGACATGTATGCCTAAAAATAACAACCTCACATACGTAAAGGTTTAGAAGTTCTAATGTTCAACACACTTAGCAGAGATATGCTAATGTCCAGGTTTATAATGCACTCAAAACCAGAAACTGAGACCCTTTTCTCTTAAAAAAATCTCTCTCGCATACGACAGCAGATACTCTGTTCACCCGTTCTCTTCCTAGGTCTGTGCACAGTAAAGCCACCGAGGTCTGTGAATTCCCCCTTCATCCACCCTGGAGTAAATGAAAGGAAAAGCAGGCGCTCCTTGTGGTATATTCAACTAATGAGTTCAGGCCTAATGAAATCAAGAGTTACTTCACTCAAAAACTAAACTGTGAATACTGCAAAAAACATTGGAATTTCACTGACCTTTTTTTTGTTATTTTTCACATAGCTTCTATTAATTCTTCAATGATTTTTTTAAATGTGCCCAGAAATTGAATGAATAAAGGGTTCAAAAGGCAATGTTCATTTTATACAGACTTTCAGAAAACTATTCTTACATTTTTCTCCACAAATGGAAATGCTGTTCATGACCTGAAGGCTTTCTTTAAGGATCATAAATAGAACATTTCCTATTCGAATGGAACTAGAATTCCTAATGACACAACGATGTTTTATACTGTCCCTCTTTCGATATGTATCTTTGAATCACATCTGAAAAGCAACAATATAATCCTTATAAATGTGGAATACCTTTCCTCCATTTAAAAGGAAGGCTCAATAGAAAATGATGCTTTATTTCTAGCTTTTGTCACCACTATTCTTTTGTGGTTTCAGCCTCTCGCATATCTACTGTACGTTACACTGTCACTGACAGCACTCATGGCAACAACATATTCAGAAATAAAAAATGTTTAGAAATAATGAATTATTTTAAAAGGTTCTTAACACAAAATGAGTTTGTATTACACATTTTCTAAATTAGAAGAACTGAAAAAATAAAAGAAATTAAAACTTGCTGTTAAAAAAAAACTGTTACACTATACTTACACTGGACTTTGTCCCAGTATCTGTGTATTTTGGAAATCATGAAGAAGCTAATTTCCTAGGATTGAAACGATATGCAGTTAAGAGAGGACTTCATAGTTAAATTGCATAGCCCAGTATAAACTTCTGGCTAACAGTGAAAAAGTTATTATTAAGAGGCAATTCTGCATTTTATGTGCACTAAAATATTCACTTCAAATTTATTAAAAGCTAAAATACCAAAAACTGAAGTAAAGTTTTCAGTACCCTCACATTAACTTCAACCCAGACTAAACTCAGTGTGGTTGTATCTGTATACCCAGAGAATATATTAAAATCTTCTAGACTCAACACCTGTAAGGAAACTCTCTGCCATAACCATTAAAAAGGGAAAATCGTGAGCTTTGTCACAGTGCCACGCATGCAGGGAAAAGCACCCTGACCCTCTACGCAGAAGGCAGTCACAGTACGGCTGTCGTATGCTCTGAAGCCTTTACCAGATACAACACTGATCGTCCCTCAATGGGTGGGATAGACACGCCCTGCTGCAATATCCAGTGAAAATATGCTGCCTCCAGTGCTGCCCAGCAAACTCCAGGGTCTGAGAGTCCATCACAATCCTGCGCACCTTAAAGCTTTGGTACTTCAAGCATACAGCTTTGTATATGTTTGCTCTCTTCTCAGGACAGTTCTGGGTCTGGAAATAGTTAATTACCTTCAGATCTGTCTGAAGTTGGAGCCCTGGCTCATTCTTTCCTAGAAAGAGATGAAAGTTATTTACTTGTTAGTTCTATTCATCTCCATATTGACAATGATGAATGTGCCGTGCCTGCCGAGGCGTGCACCGCTCACGGGGTAGGCCAGCCTGTGAAGTACTCTGCTCAGCCGGGAAGACAATTCACAGAGCACGATGAGAAACAGCACCGCTTGCTCACGTACATCAAAGTGACTTTGTTTTCTAATAGGGAATGAACCAATCATAACAAACTCAGTCTCATGCCAGTTTTAGTTCAATTAAATATCTTTAGGGGAAAATACATGATCAAACACAGAATCAACACTGCATCCGGGGACTGTTGATGGACACCATGTATTTATTTGGGCTACTGGGCCTCTTTGAATGTTTTATTAACTTTGCCTGGGTGAGCATTTTGTGTCTAGTATCCAAATTACTGGATTAGCACAAATCACCTGGAATTTTCCCTAATTTTTCACATCCTGCCAGCTTTCTGCACTCTTTTGAAGCAAGGTCTTTCTCTGTCAAACTCTGTAGACCAAGTAACGTTTGTTGGCCCTCATGGCCTTGGATTCTAAGAAAAATACTGTCCTGCAACTGATTTTGGACACTTGCCCCGAGGGATTTTGAATCTCTCCTACCAAAAAGCTGTGGTTACTTTTTGTGATGCAGTTTTGCTCAGCTTCCCTCACTTTGAGATACAACTCAGGAGTCAATATTGCTCTGACGTAACCTTTCAAGAATTCCCCTGGCATGTTAGCATGTTTCGTATTTCGTTCATGGAGAATTAGGTTAGATAGAGTTCATTAAAGCACATTCAGTACTTTAGCACTATGCACACAGATCTCACTGAAATCAATGGGAGGTAAAACTAAGTTCCTGACAGGACTCCACTCTAGAACAAACAATTCATCAAACAGTCCACCACGACTCAAGGTATGTGCGCAAGATCTGAGTAGCTTAAAAACTCTCTGCCGAGTTTTCCTCTGGCAAGCTTAGACAACACCAAACACCTTCTCCTTACAGTTGTGCAGTACGGAGCATTGCAAATTTGCTGCCTGAAGGCTATTTCAAGCTAATACGCAGATTTCACAGAGGAAATTCAGCTGGGAATTTAAAAGCAGAAACAAAAGGGCAGAGACTTTGGTACATTCCTGGATTTAACGGGAATAAAGTCCTTTCCAGTTCCTGGAAACACATTCCTCCTCTTACTGGAGTAAACTCGGAGGGGGGAAAAAAAAAAAAATCTACAAAAAGCAAACCACAAACCAGTCGTTTGCCAGCACACGCAATCGTGGTTACTACATACAGAACCTTTCGGTTCTACAGTGCTTAGTGTTAACAGGCATGCTGCACCTCAGCAACCTCAAGGCACTTCCACCTCTGCTGCTTCAGGGTAGTTTAATCAGTCGCTCATCACTTTTGTTTCAAGCAGAACCCTAATATGAAGGAGTTTCCTCAAGAAATTGAGGCACTGCATTAGCTGTATGGTGAAATGAGGTGCTTTCGGAACACGTCGTTCCAGAACAACCACTCCACTTCTTAGCTGATCGCAAGGGCTCGCCGAGCACGCTCATCTTGAAGGCAAGACACGGCTTCTCATGACATCTTGTGGCAGCGTGACAAGCTGACAGGGGTTTTGTTTTTTACTTTCAAAAAGTAATTTAAGATGTTGCAAAAGTGATATTACAGAAAACCAAACACACAACAAAAACACCAACTTACAATCAAATTAAGCTGAACAGACTAGGAACATTTTAAGCCAGAAAAATTCCCCATAAAAATATTTAAAGACACAAAGTATAAAATAATAAGACCATTATTTTAAAGTAATAAAGTCAGAAAATTGAAACAAGTTCAGTTTGAAGTAATGCAAACTCCATGTGAGCTACAGATCTAAAGACATGTATTATTAACACAATATATTCTTGCCTATTCTAACTAGAAAATCTGAATCTCCTTTTCAAATCATGGCTTGCAGGGAGAGATTGGTACAGAAGGGAAAAGCTTCACTGTCCAGAAACTTAATTATAAGCTGACTCAATTAGGCTAATTTATGCTGATATTCATGTTGCATGTAACTGGCGAAATATCAAAATATCAAATTTTATTTCCCATTTGTTTTCAAATTGTGTTGAGAAAAAACGTCTTTTAATTATACCTGAAATAACACAAATTGTGGTTTAATACTGTCCTAATTGTAAAACACCAGCCCCAAAGGAATCAATAAATGGCCCACCTTGCAAAGGAAATCAGAGGTAGCTCTAATTAAATGAAACCAGCAGAATTACTTAAGATATAGTCTTATTTTCAAAAACATACTCATCCTCAATGCACTCAAGAAAGATGTTTTCCCAGTCATTAACTGAGTAAAGCTTAATTCACACTATTTTTTTTTGATTGAAGGTATTTCAGTTTCTTTCTATGCAACTTTGTGTCTGAAATCCTGACTCAGCCCCTCACACAGCTGCTGGAACAGCAGTAGATTTTCCTGTTGGGGCAGAAGCAACTGGCTTTGTCTAGACTTTGTTGGAAGATGACAGAACAAAATACAAGCAGGTTTTATGTAGTCAGAGATGAGCACTGGAGAACAAAGAGAAAGCTTCTGGGAGGAATATTCAGCCAGAACTGCTGCTCTTACTGAGCATCAAGAAAGGGTTTTCAAAAGCAAATGTCTGCTGCAGAACCTTCAAAGCGGTAAAATCCTACACCAGGAATAACTGGCCTTCAAATGTGTGTGTGTGTGTGTATGAGCACTGGAGAACAAAGAGAAAGCTTCTGGGAGGAATATTCAGCCAGAACTGCTGCTCTTACTGAGCATCAAGAAAGGGTTTTCAAAAGCAAATGTCTGCTGCAGAACCTTCAAAGCGGTAAAATCCTACACCAGGAATAACTGGCCTTCAAATGTGTGTGTGTAGGTCATACACTCTTAGATTACTGCTTTTGCCACATTTAGCCACAAGCACAAAGGTGCAATGAACAACCAAGACCCTCCATTCTGCAGAGGGATTCACGTGAAAAGCCATTCCGTGCAGTCCTGTTCTCCTGTTTCCATTGAGAAGCACCGTCTGGAAATCCAGGCGAAGGTGCTCCTGGGAAGGAAAGGAAAGACACAAGTTTTAAATGCAATCTTTACTCAACTGTTCCCTAGCTGTAAAATGGTAGAGCAGTACCATCAGAGTAGTGGAAGACTTAAGCAAAGATGCCTCCAACTGCCTTGGAAAGGGATCAATATGAAGCAAATAACATCAGTCCCGCATGGAAAGAATTCATTCCTCTAGATCACTACTTTGTTCTTAAGATATTTATGATTATTTTGTAAAAATTGTTTAAAAGATCTGATCTATATCCTGCAAGTACTGCTCACCTTTCCAAACCACGTGTGAGAAGTGTACTTGTGTGTCTTCCTCACACTCATGTTACTGTGTCATGAAATACATAGCACAGGTAGGAAAGCCAGCCTTCTCAGAGCTAGGACTGAGGAGACAGAGATGCTCAATACCTCATCCGTGACAGGCTTGTCACACACAGCATGAGCCCCCTTACGCCTCAGATCAAAAATTTGTAAGATACAAAAAGGGCGCTTTCCCACAGAGATATTCGGAAGTAATGGACACGAAAGCCTGCAAAGTGCCTGAAGGACTACTGTAACTCCACAGAAACAAATGAGACATTATAGACCCTGCCCACTGTCTTGTCAAGCTGCACGCATTTAGTTTGTGTGTAATACAGAACTCTATTTCATAACCTACTAGAGATTGAAAATCAGATTTTTGTCACAGTTATACAAAACATTAGCAATGTGAGGCTGTGAAGCATGGAGTGGGCATCTAAGTATCAAGCCCTCCTTCAATATCACGTGTGCTTCTGGCAAAATCTGAAGAGGTTGCTCGGGGTAGAAAAAAACAGACGCAGCATATCGCATACCACAATATCCAGCATAAGACAACTCAGATGTTGCTAAACAGAGAAACAGCGATGGGCTACAAACCCACAAATCCTGATCTCTAGTTTCCTTCACCCTGCACTCTGAAAAAATGGTCTACAGCTGAAAATTCGGGTTTTGTCCATTTTTACAATACAAACCAAAGCAAAATCTTGAGACAGTATGACATGCAGCACAAAATAGCTTTCAGAAAACATCTTCACCATGTCTGAATACAAAAGCATACCGATTCTGTAATCACTAGAGGGAGCCATCTGGCATTTTACTTGTGCAGCTCCTGAAGCGTTTGAAACTAAATTTCATGACTCTGCTAAAGGGAAAGATTATTTCTGTTAGATCTAAACATACTAACTATCAAGTGTTGCAAAGAAGAGTTTCGCTACCTATTTACCTTTTTTTTTTTTTTCTTCTGTAAGGAACCCTAATAAGACACTCAAATAACCTTCAGGGAGAAGCTAAAATAATCTTGGAGAGTATCACCTCACTGAAGTAAAATACATCTGTCTTTGAAAGCAGGTTGGGAAGCAGAGTGGCAGGAAGGTAATCTTCATGAACTGTGGAACCCTGACACGTGAATGGATTTCTCCTGTGGTCGGAAAGCAGTTTCTGAAAGTCAGCAAACTTTCTTCTTCTTGTAACTCTGTCTTCAGCTGCCAGGGATACAATATACCCTTTCTCCTTTGTGGTGCAGACATTGGGTAAAGTTATATGGTCTTAACATACAAATGTTGTATTTTCATGGATTCTCCAGACCTAGATCATTTGTCTGGAAAGTAGAACGGAACATAGAAGACTCTGCTCAACCCCAATCCACAATGTGCTATAGAAAATAAAATGTAACTGTGAAGCATTAAGAAACTAGAACCTCTAGAAACAGAAGACCTCTCTGGGCCAGGCTTAGAGTAAATTACGTATGTCAGTGTTAATGAAAGACTTTTGTGAGCTATTTTTCTCTCAAATTCTGCTTTCTAGAACTGATGATGACTAGTTACATCTATAATGGCATCCTATACTGGGAACTTCAAATGCCTGAAGTGGGCAGTCCTAACTTTGTGTGTACATATCCCTTATGGGCTGTACAAGGCACTGGAATAGGCAAGATCATGGCCAATTTGCTTAACTTCTGTGGTATCTCCTTGTGCAGTGCTGATGGCTGTGTCTGGAGGTGGAAGAAAGGGCTGAAAATAAGCCTCAAAGGAGCTTTATGCTAGAAGCCTTTTATCTCAGCATACAAATCATAGATTAATTCTTAAAAATTGAGTAGATGACCCCCCAAAAGAAACTGTCCCTTTCCTTTACAATGGCTTCTCATCCAGTCTGGATAGAGCACAGGTTTTTGAGATAGGAGCAAGGCTGGTTTTCAGTTTGCACCATTACTGAAACCTTCAGATACAAACAGAGCCAACCTTGAATAACCTTCCTCAGTCTACATGGGACAGAAAGAGATGAAGCAGTAGAGGAGGTAACACCTGCCAGAGATAATACTCAGTGTTGGTCTTAGTCAGACAAGGGCAGGGAGGCCTCCTCCTCCAGCCATGAGAAACATTTGCACCACCTAGTTACCCCAAAAGGGAGAGCAGAGGACTTGCATGCATCACTACAGAGCAACTCCGAGTACATCCAATCCCTTGTGCAAAAGTTCATTTAGACACAAACAGGCAGGAGACATATGAAAGAAGACAATTAATAAGTAGACCATTACTTCCCAAACATTATAAACATTCTGAAGCCCAGGATGCTTCTTTCTGCAGTCTTCGCCATTTTTTTGGTACTTCACCTGTAGTCATATCAGGCCCTACACTTACCTGAAAGTACCAATATACTCAGCTAGGAGCAGAAACCCCAGAGACTGCAAAGAAAAATGCCCACTCAAATTCTTCTTCGTTTATATGCTGTAGTGTAAGGTACAATTTGTGCTTTAGAAACTCAAATGGACAACAGTTTATTACATGTTCACTCCCTGTGGACTGCTTTCCTTTGACTAGTATTATCTTTGACTGTATAGATGAAAGCCTTTGTACAAAAGACGTCGATTTTAGTAGAGTTCTTCATCAGTTTTTACCCTCACAAGAAAAGAAGCCTAATCTGACAAGATATGGAAGATGAGGTGCTGGATATTAGCTTTAATATTTTATTAAATACTTTAATCATTTTGTCTTTCAGAATAGTTTGTACAGAAAGAACCATTATGCTAACACCAACAGTGGTTGCACTGGCATCAACCTGAGCAGCAACTTTGCTACTGCTGCACAGGGTAGAAAGTAACGTGACTAATATAAAGACCACCTTGAAACTAGCCCGCAGGGGTACACTGGTAACAGGGATTATTTTGCCAGTCATTGAAAATGAAGGCCTTTAATGGGCCAATTTACACTCTGCTGATTCGACACTGTAATACACAGACTCAAATGCTGTGAATACAAACCATATTTGCAGCTATTGGTGCCAAAGAGAGGCACATAAATCAACCCACCATGAGTCTACAGGACAGTCTGAGGGAGAGACTGAAGCTCTCGCTGCCTTAATTTGTAAAGGCCTCTCTTCCATCAAGGCATATCTAAGCTTCCACTCACATTCTTAGCTGCTGTATTTCTTTATGGATATAATTCCATAAAAGTACCTAATTATGATGAACAAGTATTCAGAAAAGCTAATATAGAACTTAAACTTCTATGAAAGTGTATATAATCAGCATGCACTGGCATGTTAAAAAAAAAAAAAAAAACCAAAACACAGGAGTTCCTATGCTTCCAAGAGAACCTAATCACAACTAACTGGCACATAAGAAAGCTAAAGAAGCCCCCCAGTGAAGTTTTAAAGACTTAATTCAGTTTCTTTTCTTAAGCACTAGCTTCAGCAGAGCCATGTCCAGTTTCGACTACAGGAGGCAAAAATCAAACCATGTTCAATCAATTTCCTCTATACGTGCTTTTGAACTACTAAGACTTCACATGATATATCATGTGCTTTTAAAACCAATTTTGATTGAAACCTCTCTCAAAATAGAAAAATCTCACTTTAAACCAAAATCTTTCCACACACATTGCACATATGCAGCAAAAGACAGTGAAGGTTTTGAGGAAAAATCTTATTATCGCCTCCATTTAATTTGAGTATGACCATCTTGCAGTACTTACAATAAAAAAAAATTTTTAAATCACATTTTTATAAGGAAGTGCACCTTGAAAAATACTTGTTACAGACCAAGGACTTTCATGTCCACTTCAATATCAGTAAATAATTTCTGTTCTGTAATCCAGGAAGTACCAGAATGAAGAACATTAACCAAACATCTTTCAGCATTCAGAACAAGACTGAAAATCCAAAGGGAAGGAATATTCACTCTCTCCATCTTAAAAGAGACTAGAATCAAGGATGTGGACAAAAGTCTGGATACAGCTCCTTTCTCTCACTGATTCTGTTAAAAAGAATAACAATCAATTTTAATGTTGCAGCTTTATTTGAAAGTGACTTAGAGTTTTGGTAACACAGTTTTTTATACAAAATTGATACAATGAAAAATAAACTTCAGAGGTTTCCTAGAGCAGACTACAAGCTGTAAACTCATAATCAAATGTACTAGATAAAAAAAAGGTAACTTTGTTCAGTCTTGTTTGCAGACCAGCACCAAATGATCCTGAAAAGCTAGTTTTACTGTGTATGCCAAAAAAACCCAAAGCCCACCCAAACCCTTGCTTCCTAAGTAAGCAAAGTCTCATTGCAGTTGTTCTACCTCACTGTATTTCCAATTTACAGTAAGCTGTGACTAACTGTACACAAGAAACACATCAAGATTTCCAACAATATCTTAAGTGAGTAAAGATCAACTTTAACGTACGGCATTTTAAAGGTTTTTAAGGACTCATGGACAACTAGGTATTTGGACAAAACTTTATGAATTGCCATTTCCAAAGAACTCGGAAGTAGATTTAAAAAAAAAAAAAAAAAAAATCCAGAGTCCTGTAACAGTTCCTTTTAAACTATTTCATTTCAGCAGGTCTATTTCGCAGACCTTGGGATCAGTGATTATTTTTATTCGTATGCCTGCAGTACATCAAAATTGCATCATATAAACTAGCAATACAAATAACATACAGAGGGGGAGTGGAAAAAAAAAAATCTATACTGCTATCTTTTGCCATTCTTTCCACATGCCCAACAGAAAGTAAGGCTTCTCCCAAAACTCATCTTTTTTGTTTTTACCTTTGTCTGAAATCAGGTTTCGCAAATAGAAAATCTATTTTGAGAACAAACTTTCTCATTATACACACAGTTCCTCAACCATCCCATTTTTGGGGTAACTGTACAACTTGGCTTCATGCCACCCTTGTAGGCACAGGAAAGATACTGTTCCTCAAATATTAAGGCTGTAGAGAGCTACCAGACAGGAGGAAAACACTACTACTCCAGCTGTGAAAATAACTGCTACTGTAATTCTTACACTTGCTGTTCTCTGTATCCCACAATGCAAAATGCTGCTGAATCGTGCAATGTCATGCAATCATATTATACTTTGTAGAAGGCTGCAAAGGGTCTGTTTTCTGCTAGGCTTGCTTCTCACTTTATGATTCCTGGGCTCATCAGTCTGACTTGTTTTATTGCAGCCAGTCATGTAGGCGTGCTGGGAACAGCATCAGTGTAAAAGCATGCTAATCCACTAACCCCAGAAAATCTGCAACTTTAAGTCTTCCCTAGAAATTGGAAAATTTCCCTAGAAATTCCACTTCCTTTTCAGGCTCTTTGCCTTTTTCTTTCACCTCTGAAACATAAACCAACCCGGCCCTATTGCCGCTCTCCACCCTGTGATACCAATGTAAACAAAATCCAGTGATAGAATAATCAAGTTTTGCCAGTCAAAAAAAAGCACCATACCATTAAACCTCTGTTCCTTTTAGTAGAGTTACAGCAGCATTTAGAGACCAAAGCCTCACACGTACTATTGCTTAAAACCTTGCTCCCAGGTCCTCTCTGCAATGCTTTGGATCCTGGTATTAAAACGGAAGAGATACTGAACATACTATGTGATCACAGGAACACGGACAGTGGTTTCTGTGAATTTCTAGCTACATAAATTTGTGTGCAACAGACCTACTTTGTGCCTGGTGACACGTACAATGCACATTTACTTCTCCTGTGAGGCTGACGAGTCATTCGCTATTCACTGGCATTGAACAGTTTTGCCATAGCCACCTCTTCCGGCATCATAGTCTTGCCGATACTCATCTCGGACCTTACAAAGGAGGAAAAAAGCGAAGTCCAGTGAAGACAAAGAAAAACAATTTCTCAAAAACTATTACACCACCAGAATATAGTCAAAGTGAGTTCACAACAAGGAGCTGACTGACAAAACAGAAGGCAAAGTGCATCATGCGGAAGCCCATAATTCATCATAAGCTAACTTCCTTTTTAATAATTCCCAGGGGGACTCTTTAATCAAGACAGCCAAAGTGAGGATGGCTAGCCTCATGCTTCTGCAGTAAAAGGCAGCTGCTACCTGCTCAACTTTAGGTAAGCTAAGTGCTGTCCTTTGTGTTCTTCACAGCCTAGTATTTTCTGGGCCTATTTATAAGCATTATCTCCCCAAGCAGCTAAGAAGCTTCTGAAAGTACTTTCAGTGAAATATATGACAGAGTTACTTATTCTTAGTGGATAACATCGTCATTGATAAGATGTCTTACAAGCTAACATATGGTGCCATCTTAAACAACAATTTGTAAGTTGCTATTTGTAAATTTGCTCTGAGTATGTTCATTCAAAAAGCAGTAACACAGCAAAGTCACCAGTCCCTTAAAAGCTAGACTGTACAACAACCTACCTGGCCCCCTGATCTTCCACGACCATACTGTCTACCCTCCTTAAATCCTGCATCCCAGTCTGTCCTTATGATCCTATCATCAAGTCTGGTTCCATTGATGTACCGCATTGCATTTTCAGCATCTCCTCTTGCATAATACCTTAGGAATAGGTTAATGAAAAAAAAAGGGCTTCTATTTTCAATACATGGAAAAAAGAACGATATCAAATGGGCTACAAAACCAAGTATTTGCTTGAATCGGTTCCCCCTTGGTTACTTTTAAAAACAACCACTTTTGTGAAGCTACGTGGGCTGCGAAAACTGCTAGTGAAACCAGCAATATGCAGGAATTCGAACATATTAAAAATGCATAGATTGGATCAAGTTCTTCAACCACGCTCACCCTTAAAAGCATAAAGCTCTATCATTAAAGAAAGAACGAGAAGGCCCGCACATGCTCCGTTCACACTGCAAGCTTTCAGCATTTCAGTGAGTCCACTGGAACCAGTGACAGAATGATCTTCAAAGAGACTTGCATATAATGAAGTCAATGGATGACAGGGATGCAAGATACCCGCAGAAACCTTAGGTGTATGCTTGTGTGAAAAGAAACGCCTCTTTACTGGGGCACCGAGACACGTTTTTACTGCAGAGGCCAACTGTCTGAAAAGGGTCTGGCTTAAAGGACCAGAGTGAAAGCAGCCCAATAACCCCCACCTGACCTGCAGCGTACGTTTGCCCTCTCTCACCCAGGACCCCCCCAGCCGCTTTGGCGACCGAATAATTTGATCCTCGGATCATTTCCCCTGGCTCACAGCCTGTATCTCCCTT